GATGACACTTGGTTAGTCCAACCTCTCTTTTAACACTTACTGGAATTTGGACTTTGTTGTTCCCAAACGTCATCTTATCAAAATTAATTACACACTTCCTCGGTAGTAAGTAGTCTAACCCTAATATGCATTGGTCTTCAATGTTAGCCAAGTATACTTTGTGTTTGTTTTTCATGCCCATGAGCTCAATAGTTACCCACACTGTTCCCCACAACCTTGCATAATGTTTTGTCACACCACAGAGCTTCTGTATAGCTTCTGGTACTCCTTTGTGATCTAGCACCTTGATACTCACAAGGGTCTGCTGAGATGCAGAATCTATGACAAAGTTGCACCTTTGGCCATCCAGCTTTCCTGTCATGTAGACACTATGTGTGCTTGGCATTTTACACCTAGCTGTTAGGACTTTCACGATGGGGGTTGGTGGGCTACTGGTTTCCCTGGGGCTGACTTATTGTTAGTATTCTTCTTACACTGGTTCCTCATATGTCCTTGCTCTCCACAGTTCCAACAACCTTTCTGGGTAGCAGGCTTTCCAGCCGTGGCATCTTCCCTGTGTTGAAGTTGCCAGCATTGAGCTCTCTTGTGCCCAGGTTTATTATAGTGCCAGCAAAGTCCCTCAAACCTCTCCAAAAACTGACCTTTTCTGGCCTTGAATCCTGATGACTGTACCAACCTTGGTACATTTCTGTTGGACTTAACGTAGGATTCAAATTCAAGAGCTCTGGCTATTGCATCCTGCATAGTAGAGAAGTGCGCTTGTTTTACTTGTATCTTCAGTTGTGTACTATCCAAGGCATCTACAAACTGATCCCTCAGCAACAGCTTCAGGAGATTGGGTGGTGCAGTTGGGTAGACCTTGTGTGCCATACTTTCCAAATCCTGTGCCAGCTCTTGCAGGCTCACTCCTTTAGCACGGACTCTCGTCCTAATCCCAGCCCAGTAGACTTCAGACTGATTTTGGGTTCCATACCTGAGTTCTAGAGCCACTACCAGTGCTCCATAGTTGTGTCTGTCATCTGCTGACAACTGTCCAAGTATTTTCAGTGGTTGTCCCTTCAAGCTTGTTGCCAGATATACTGCTTTCTGCTCCTCTTTCCATCCATTCATCTCTGCCAGGAGCTCAAATTGTGCTCTATATGCTTCCTATGGTGCCTTCCCATCGAATTCCCGTGGCTTCCTTCATACTAGATCACCCCTATTGCTGATATTCATATCTGGGATGTGACTTCTAACAGGACTGAAGATGTCTGCATAAGGGTTTAGCTGCGGGTTCTGGAAAGGACTTCCACTTGTTTGAGGCTGATTAAGTCGATAGTTAATGTATCCTTCTTGTGTAAAAGTCAATAAATAATCATTTAATGTATTTAATTCACTTTGAAATTTACTAATGTTTTCCATTTGTACTTCTTGCCACTGTTGTTGACTTTCCTGTAGTTGCTGCTGACTTTCCTCCAACTGTTGGAGACTTTCTTCCTGTTTCCTTTCTTGTTCCAGTTGCCACTGCTGTAATTTTTCTTCTTGTTTATTTTCTTTTTCCTCCAACCACTGCTGTAGTCTCTCTTGTTTATTTTGCTGTTCGAGCTTCCATTGTTGCAAGTTTTCTTGCCACTGCTGTAATCTCTCTTCTTGTTCTTTTCTTTTTCCTACAACAACTGCTGTAACTTCTCTTCTTGTTCGTTTTCTTTTTCCTTCAACAACTGCTGTAATTTCTCTTCTTGTTTCTTTTCTTTTTCCTCCAACAACTGCTGTAATCCCTCTTCTTGTTTCTTTTCTGGTTCTTATTGTTTCTTTTCTGTTCTTCTTGTTTCTTTTGCTGTTCTTGTATTGCTGCCATTAAATCTGCTAAGCTGTAGTTTGATTTGCCACCTGTCGTTTCCATCTTCTTCTTCTTCTTTTTTTCCTCCCACTCTCTGACACCAATTTGTTACGTCTCTGGCCGTTTGTTAATTTCCCGTAAAAATTATTTCCGAGAAACTTCATCGATACAAGTCCTTTCTTAATTAAAACAAGTTTATTATTTCTCGATACAACATAATTTCCACAGTCACTTTAACTTAAACACGCTATAATTCACAACGATTCATGCACTTTACTTACGGTCACTACCGCTCCCTTGACTCAATTATCTGTCTCTATATCTATATCACTTCTATTTCTCTCTGCTTTATTTACCATGCTTATATACTAAAATAGAGGGCGCCTAGAAAAGACTAGAGTTGCCAGGAAAAGTCAAGATCCTTCGAGAATCTCATGACGTGTTACCAGTGTCACGTGACTTTCGCTGACGTAACAAGTCGCTTTTGTTATTGTAAGGAGAAAGTTATTGTTTAGTGATCCAGTCCCATGTTGCTGTTTTCGAGTGAACAGAGAAACTGTTCATAGGTTAAAAAGAGAATGACCATTCTAAATAAAGTTGTTTTGTTTGTTATAATGCAACAACTGTGTCATTCTGTTTTTCTTTAGATCGAATTTGACTTAATCAAACTTTGCTTACATTTCCTTTCAAACCTACTGTCACTGTCAATTTTACCTGAGCCAGCATACTACGTCACTATGGCAGGATTTGACCAATAGTTTTATCTTATGTTTTATGGAATGATGTGTTTGAAGCCAGCACGACTTTCGTGTGAAATAGAGAACCACCGTTGATTTCTAGAGTTCAGTTTGATTATAGGAGTTATAGAGAGAATGTGAATCTGTAGAAGAAGGTTTGGCTATTTAAGGGAGTTTAGATTTGACTTGGAATAGACAAGGCTTGGTTGTGAAGTTGCGTATATATTGTTACGACAGCAGAAGTCACGTGACTCTGGTAACACGTAATGAGTTCTAGAAAGATCGGGGAAC